ACAGGGGCCCCCCATACTGTGTGGGGCCCGGTAGTCCTGCTTCAGTGTGGCAGCTCGAGTTCTTCACTCCCCGTGAAGTAAAGCCAGTGTCTTACACTTTGCTCGGGCGCCTCAGTGCGCTAGGGGCAGGCAGGGTGTGGGGCGCAGTCGCAGGTGGAGTTTCCAGTGTGGTTGGGGAAGGTGAGACTTGGTGGGAGCCAAGGGGCCCATGCTTGGCTCGTTGTAAGAAGGGGCCACTCCCAGTACAACTTGAAGTCAGGCTGAAGTAGTGCATGGTGAGAAATAGGAGTTTCTTCTTTATTTTTTTTTTAAGAGGCTTTTGCTATAGGGCGCGTGCGCTTGCCGGACAGACAGAGAGAGACAGAGAGACAGAAAGCAAGAAATCACCCCCCAGGGGGGATGGCCACGCCACAATCCCTTCTCCTCCATACTCCTCTCGGGATCTTGGGCACACATGCACACGCGCCCGGCGTGAGTTTTAAGCCACCAGATCCGGGACGCGAAACATGGTCGACTATGTGGGAGTCCAGCGACATAGCCATTACGCTAACTTCTGGTCTCGAGAAATAGGAGTTTCTGATGGCTTTGGGGACCGAGGGCTTTCTGGTGCCCTTTGGGCTTGGGGATCCCCAGGCACTGTGGGATTTCCTCACCCTGGAAACGGAAGGATGGGGGTGCATTGTAGCCAGGGGTACCTAGCCGGGAGGTCGTGTGGGGTGCAGAGTGGAACAGCCCGATGGAGCTGGGCAGGTGGGTGTGGAGTGTCCTGCGGATGGAGTTGGCACGGGGACTCTCATCTGGTGACCACCCCTCTCCCAGCCAGGGGCAGCAGTTGTCCACGGAGTCCCTGCAGCAGCTGCTGGAGCGAGCGCTGACCCCACTGGTGGATGAGGTGAAACAGCGGGGCCTGGCTCCCGCCTGCCCCAGCTGCCAGAGGCTACACAAGAAGATTCTGGTACCAGGGACCGTGGGCCACCATGTGCCACTCTGCTTTCTGTGGGGGCAAGGGGAGGGGTCCCTGGGCCCAGGACTGTAGGTGTGTGGCAGTGAGCCATGAACGACAGGCACAGGGGAGGGCAGGCACAGGCTCGTTATTATGGAACCGGGGGGTGGACTTGGGCCCAGAGAATGATGGGACGTTGGGTCTGGTGCATTGTGGGATATTGCAGATAGACTCCAGCCCGAAGCATCATGGAGCATGAGTCTGACTTCCTGCAGACCCCGTTTGATGGGGTCACTGGGGACAGGTCACAGGGTCAGATGGGGGACCCAGTGACCACAGGCCATAGTAAGTCGATGCATTCTGGGAGGTGGAGCTGCCCCAGACTCAACCCCAACAGCTGTGGCACTGGAGTCCTGGTGCATTGTGGGACAGAGATCTTGTGGGAAGCTGGCCTACTGGGATGGGACGTGGGTTGTCGTGGGTGAGACAGAGTGAGGCCGGGTGGACGCTGACGGGGCAGAGCCACAGGGCCACCTGTGGGAGGACGTGGGCATGGTGCACTGTGGGATGTAGGGGGTCAGAACGCCAAGGACTGCTCTTGTGCGTGGTGCTGGTCCCGTGGGTAACGGGGGTGTGGGCCTTGTGAGGTATGGGATGTGGAGTATGTGATGAGGTACCGGGGCAGGTCACAGATCGGATGCAGGCTAGTCCGTGGGCGTCGGAGCCATTTGATTTAGTGTTTGCTGGGACATGGGCCGATGCATTAGGGGACAGACAGAGGGACAGACACAGGTTCAGCATAGGAATGCAGAAGGCCAGTGCACTGTGGGATGCTGGCAGCAGACTCAGGCTCAAGGCATGACGGGATACTTTCTGGGAGGACTGTGGGCCCCCTGGGACCCTGCCCCCTGCCCTCCGCGACCCAGCTCCCCCTCCACCCCCAGCCCAGTCCAGCAAGCCCAGCCGCGCCTACACTCCTCTCCCCAGGAGCTGGAGCGCCAGGCCTTGGCCAAACACGTCAGGGCAGAGGCCCTGAGCTCCACCCTTCGGCTGGCCCAAGACGAGGCCCTGCGGGCCAAGAATCTGCTGCTGACGGACAAGATGAAGCCGGAGTGAGGAAGGAGGCTGAGGGCACGGGAGGAGGGTGAGGTTTGGGGGCAGGCTGCCCCTCCCTTGTCCCCAGCCCTGTGCCCAGCCCCGCCTGCACCGACTGCCCGCTGCCTGTCATTGCAGGGAGAAGGTGGCCGCGCTGGACTACCTACACTTGAAGATGTGCTCCCTCCACGATCAGCTCAGCAACCTGCCGCTTGAGGGGTCCACGGGGACAGTGGGGGGAGGGGGTGGGGGGGGAACCCCCCCAAAACGTGGGGGCCCAGCCCCTGAACAATAAATGGCCCCTCATGCTGGCATGAATTCTGTCTCCTCTTGTTTTTTTGTTTTTTCAAGTGTATTCCTCCAGGGGCCGGCTGCGTGGTGGGAGTCTCGAACCCAGCAGCTTGAAAATGCCATGCGTGTGTGTGCACCTGCCTACCACCCTGAGAGGACAGAGGAGAGTGCAGGAGAAGGGACGGAACCTCCTGAGCGGGAGTTCTCACTCTCCTGCCCTGCCTCTGGTGAGCGCACACACCCTATGGCAAAAATCTAAGAGCAGATACCAAGTATCCTTTCATGAGTGAGTGAGCGAGGGAGAGGAAGGAGCCAAGACAGCACCCCTGGCAGCCTGGACGCTGTGGCCCACCCACAGCTCAGCTAGCCCCCGATCGCTGCATGTGTTCCCAGGGTACTCAGGGACCCCTCTGCATGGGAACCGAGAACCTGCCCACGGGGAGCAGCTTCACGGATCTCTGAGTCTCACTGCTGTGCCACTGTCTGGCCCCCCAAAGTTACTTTTATCATGAGAAAAACATGTGCAACCATGCGTGTGCACACGAGAGACCCACCCTCCGTGGGGTCTGGTCACAACGAGAGGCCCTTCCTCCAGCCCTCTGGCTTGTCAGGCGCCTGGGCCTGCGTGGCGGCATTCTAGGTGGGCTCAGGATCAGAACCCGCGGTTGGCTACGCGGCGGCCAGCTCTGTGGTTCCGTTCACCACTGCCCGCACCACAAGGGTTGGGCCTGTCTCTTCCTCTGTCTGAAGAGAGCTGATGATTTATGTACAGACCACGCACCACCCTCTGTGCCCACGAGGTGTCTGCATACCCGACGCCATGACAGCACGGTCCTTTGAGAAGGAGGTGGGGTAGAAATAAGTTCCGTGGTGTAGTTTGGGCTTGTGAGGCGATATTTTTTTAGGGTGATTGTGTGGCAGTGCAAGTGAAGTCCACAATTACACTGACACCCTCCCCGTGCCCCTCCATTTTTTTTATTTTTTAAGAATTATTTACTGGGACCAGCAGGTGATGTGATGGTTAAGGGTGCTGGACTCCCACATGGCCAACCACAGTTCGGGTCCTGGGCCTGGAGGCTTGCTTTCTCACTTTCCCTCTCTCTTTCTTACTCTGTCCCTTCTGGTCAAATTAAAATAAATCAATGAAGTTAAATAAAATAATTATTTTTAAAAGAATTATTTATTTCACTTATTATTATTTTATTTTGCTATAGGGCGTCTATACTCACCAGAGACAGAGGGAATGAGAAAGCAAGCTGCCACGACTTGACCTGTGGTCGGCCACTTGGGAGTCCAGCATCTCAAGCGCCATGCTACCTGCTGGTTCCCTTTCTTTCTTTCTTTCTCTTCTTTTCTTTTTTCTTTCTTTCGTTCTTTTCTTTTCTTTTCTTTTTTCTTTTCTTCTCTTTTCTTTTTTTTTCTTTTTTGGCTATAGGGCCCATGTGCTTACTGGAGAGAGACAGAGAGGGAAAGTGAGAAAGCACTCGGGGTGGGGTGGGAGGGATGGCCAGGCTGCAATCCATTCTCTCCTCAGGATTTTGGGCACACACACATGCCCTGTGTGGTGATCAGGTCCCAAGTCTGGGACTCTACCTCCAGGCAGTCGGCCATGTGAAATCTAGAACTTTAACCTCCATGCCACCAGCTGGTCTGCCTCTCCACTCTCGTGCTGCAGAGAGGGTCATTCTGCTTGAGTTAAATTCTTATTTGAGAGAGAAGAGGGAGGTGGCAGGTGGCATGGTCTTTAAGGGCACTGGACTCCCACATGGCCGACCGTGGTTCAAGTCCTGGACCTGGCAGCTCACTCTTTCTCTCTCTGTCTTTCACTCTCTCTGTCCCTCTCTGGTCAAATTAAAATAAATAAAGTTAAATAAAATAATTCTTTAAAAAGGACCTCTTACTTGGGACAGTCATTGAGCCCTCTAAGGAAGATAAATGCTCCAGTATTGTCCTTAATGATAAAAGGGCTGGGACCAGCAGTTAGCGTAATGGCTATGTCGCTGGACTCCCACATAGTCAACCACGGTTTGAATCCTGGACCCAGTGGCTTAAACTCAAGCTGGGCGCATGTGCGTGCGTGCCCAAGATCCGGAAAGGAGAATGGAGGAGAAGGGATTGTGGCGTGGCCACCCCCCTGGGGGTGATTTCTCGATTTCTGTCTCTCTCTCTGACTAGGGCGTGCGCCCTATAACAAAAACTTCTCCAAAAAAAAAAAAGAGGCTAGCGACCTTAGATCTCCTAGCCTTCAGCGGTCACACATTGGTCCCAAGCTGGTCTCTACTGTTCGGCTCTTTTGGGGAGGGGACAGTGGCCCTGCAGCTATACACCAAGAATCTACCTCCATCTCCACTAAATACATATCCAACTTTTTCTTTCTACTTTTTTTTTTTTTGACAAGTTTTTGGTATAGGGCACATGCGCTCGCCATAGAGACAGAGAAACAGAAAGCGAGAAATCACTCCCTAGGGGGATGACCATGCCACAGTCCCTTCTTCATTCTCCTCTTGGGATCTTGGGCACGCGTGCACACGCGCCCAGTGTGAGTTTAAGCCACCGGGTCCTGGATTCAAATCACGGTCAACCACATGGGAGTCCAGCAATGCAGCCACTACGCCAACTGCTGGCCCCAATATCCAATTTTTTTTGGAGAGGTTTTTGCTATAGGGCACACATGCTCACTAGAGAGACAGAGACAGAGAGACAGAAAGCAAGAAATCACCCCCCGGGGGAGATGGCCATGCCACAGTCCCTTCTCCTCCATTCTCCTCTCGGGATCTTGGGCACGCACACACAAATACCCAGCATGAATCTTAGGCTGCCAGGTCTGGGACTTGAACCAGGGTTGACTACATGGGAGCCCAGCGATGCAACCATTATGCCACATATCCAATTTTTTAAATTACTTTCTAATAATAAACTTTTATTAAATCGTCATGAAGTTGTCTGCTTTGTTTTTCAGACTCAGAAAACAGTCTGACAGTGATTTTTAATAATTCTATTAGCCAGGGACCAGTAGTTGGTGTAATGGCTTTGTCCCTGGACTCCCATGTAGTCGACCGCAGTTCAAGTCCTGGACCCGGTGGCTTAAACTCACGCCAGGCACGTGTGCGTGCATGCCCAAGATCCTGAGAGGAGAATGGAGGAGAAGGGATTGCAGTGTGGCCATCCCACCGGGGAGTGATTTCTCAGCTTTCTGTCTGTCTCTCTCTGTCTGTCTGGCGAGCGCACACGCCCTATAGCAAAAACCTCTAAAGAAAATTAAAAAAAAAAAAATTCTATTAGCTGTCTACTGCTGTGTAAACAAACAGACAAACAAACAAAAAACCCTTAGTAGGGCCCAGCTGGCGGCATAGTGGCTGAGGCTCTGGGTTCCCATGTGGCTGACCACGGTTGGAGTCCTGGACCCAGTGGCTTGAAAGACACACCAGGCACATGAGCATGGGTGCCCCAGATCCCCAGAGGAGAATGGAAACGAAGGGATTGTGGCATGGCCATCCCCCTGGGGGGGGTTCTCTTTCTCCCTGTCTCTCTGGCAAGTGCATGTGCCCTATAGCAAAGAAAAAAAAAGTTTCTCTCAATCTGATAACTCTTCGAGGTTTCTCATAGGAACCAAGGAGACAAACAGCTAAACAGGAAATTGAAACAATGAGGGATGCTCTGCTCCCTAGAAACGAAAACTCCTGCTTTGAAGATGAATTGCTTGATTTTTTTCCTTTAATTTAAGATTTTTGCCATAGGGCATGTGCGCTTACCAGAGAAAGACAGAGGAAGTGAGAAATCACCCCCCAGGGGAGTGGCCATGCCACAGTCCCTTCTTCTCCATTCCTCTCTTGGGATTTTGGGCGTGCACACACACACACACACACACACACACACACACACACACTCCTTGCGCTTTTCACTCTCC